CCCCCCCCCCCCCCCCCCCCCCCTCCCCACTTGCCCTGACTTGTCCTCGTCGAGGAATCAGGCACATGTCGTAGCGAGTCATCCTTTTGTCTTTTTTTTTTCGATCGATCGATCACGCAAACTTCATCACCGCTTGCGTTTGCTGGAATGATGATGATCCCGATGATAATCCGGTGACTTGGCTTGTAGGGCCGAACTAGCACTCAGTCGCCGGGATAGGCCGCCCAGGCGTGGAAAGGGAAAATCGAAAGCAAAATCACGGATATTAAGCCAGCGGATTTTCCATTAAAAAAAATTTAAAAAAAAATTTAAAAGAAAAGAAAAAAAAAGATAGAGTCTCGAACTAGACTGCAGCGGGTCTTTATCAACGGTGTCCCATTGTCGAATGTTTACTGGTCATCTCGCGGGTAACGTCGATCCCCATCCGGAATATCCCAAAGGGTGACATTCGAAGTGCTGGGTCGGGGTTGGGCTCAACGCGATCAACGTACCTTCCACGATGGTCTCGACGCTCTCGGTGCGGGCCCTGAGCTTGGCGACGCCCTCCTCGAGCTTCGCCCTCGAGAGAACGAGGACGAGCTCGGGCCTCGGCTGCTTAAGCACGGCGAGACTCTCCCTGTGGGTGAGTCCGCGCGTACTGCGACCGTTTATGCTGAGGATGCGGTCGCCTCGCTGGAGGCTGCCCTCCTTGTCGGCGATCGAGTGGGCGAGCACCCGGTGGACGCTGATCTCCTTGGTCTCGCAGTCGACGCCACCAGCCAGGGTTATGCCCACACTGCCCGAGGGATTCTCTTTGTGTAGCAGCACCACCACGACGTCGTGGCCGCCTGTCGGTCGGTCATTATTTAGAAGGGCCACGCGGCCTCTTTATTCTCTTTTCGTTACCCCCCCCCCCCCCATTTTTTAAAAACACCCCCACCCCCTCACTAACGCGAAGAACAACATTTCGTCATTCTCGTCGTCGCAACAGCGGCCCTTGCGTTCTCGTTACGATTCTGGACGGAGGGAATATAATTATTAGGCGTCGATGAGGCTCCGATGTCCTTTGCGAGGAGTCTCAAGTGTTCATGAATTTCATTCGTTAAACCGTTTATTGCTCGCCCCATGGTTTACTATTTCACGTCACGTTAATCGGATGCTACTGGTTGAAATTGTTTTGGAGTAAAGTATAGGCACATGGAGCCGGACTCGATCATCGATCTTCATAACGACATAAAATGTTTCCCCCCACGTTCAATTTTTATTTTTCCGAGAGGGCCTTCGTATAATTATTTATTACACAATAAGACGCGTGTTATGTCGGTATGAGCGCTTAAGCTATGTTAGATATCAAGTGGCGAGGAGAGGAGAATTAAAATTTTAATGCAACTGCTTTGTCATAAAAGTCAATTGCGGCTCATGCGTTATTCAATATACGAGAGATGTAAGGTTATACTATTTTTTTTCTTCTTTCTTTTGCTTTCTTCTTTCTTTGTTCTTTAGAGCTTACTACTACTATTTGCGTTAACCGTTTAGCAGCTCGGCAGTTGAGCGGGATTGGTTTATTAACGCAATACTCTCCCCGAACATCAACCAAGCGGCTTTACACGAAATCAATCAAATATTGTCTCAAGCGAATGGCAAAATGTCTATTCTTAATGCGCGCGTAAGTAAATTTATGATTGCAAAGCACGACGAGCTACGATTCTTCTTTGTACATTTGTCATCGTCGTATTCGTGCCGTTTCTTTTCATCGCTCTGTTCTTAACTCTTAATAAATAATTTAATTATCATTACTGTTATTATACGCTTGTAAATTATTATGAATTCGGCTAATAAAGTAAATCGCGCAATTATCATTTATCAAGCGTCACAGCGGTGATTTTGAAGATACTTGGACGATATTATTTTCGTGCTCAGGCAGCACCGGGCGCGCGCTGTTCTTTCTTATTCAATTATGAAAGTGGTGAAGCGTATGACTATAATCAGAGAGTGAAATAACGTACACTTATCATTGATTCGAATTGCTTTTGCACATCATTTGGAACATTTATCCGTAGCTTAACGTCCGCTAAAATAAATGTTATTACCGAGAGAGTTGAAGAAGAAGAAAAAATCATTAATGAGACCCATTCTCGAGGGCTCGGCGAAATGCTTTTATAGCCTCGGCAGTAAAAAGTATACTTTGTATCTCGTAAAAGACGATTCGAATCGGACTCATTTTTTATGAACTGCGAGTCCATATGGGCCGTACACTAATTTTACGAATTTGGCCGTCGCACTGTAAGAAGATGGTCATTTTATCAAGAAACGACAATAAGACAAGTAACGCGAAAAAGAAAATGAAGAGAGAGAGAGAGCGAGAGAGAGAGAGAGAGAGAGAAAAGGGTGGCCAAAATATCAGTGGCTTAGTGGTGTCCGATGCTCTTAGGTGGGAGCCTAAACGTATATGGCCTAGTTGCTACGACGAAGCGAGTCAACCGCCACTTCCTTTACGGTTAGACATAAAATTCACTTAGCCCTCTGCTGCCACATTTGACGAAAACTACTCGTTTAACCAATGATCCCCGGAGACCGGAACGAGACGCGATCTTTAAACTACTGGCGATCCCTCGACGCTCGATGTCGTGACCTATCGTCGCAGCCCCGCACAAACATTTTTATCGCGGTATATAATGACGTATGAGTCAGAGAGAGAGAGAGAGAGAGAGAGAGAGGCATAAGCGAGCTCATAAAGGACCTCACCACGCGGCTCGTCCAGATTGGCCTCATCGACCAGTTGAGCGAGCTCCTGCTGGGATATCAAGCTCGTGGTGCTCGCGAGTGAACTGATGCTGCCAAACTGCTCGCCGTTGAAGCGCTCTTGATCGACTTCACACCGGATCCCCTCCTCGACGCTGCTGTCGAGGCTCGGAAAGCGATTGTGGCCGGGGCTCGTCGTCACCTGCAAGCAGCACCCGTGTCTACGTCATCCGAGATGTCGGCGGCGATCGCGTGGTCGCGTTTTCTTTTCGCTTAGCCGCCGGCATATCGGACACATACCAATTGTCCAAGATGGACCACCACTTAGTGACCATACGATCTGGGCCTCGCGGTACTTTCAATGTGATACTTAATGTGCCTTTGCATCGTAATATTCGGGCTATTATTCAAGACTCTAATGTTCAAATGACAATTCCATGACCCGGAGTTTCTACTATTGCAATGTCAAGGCTCGCGTCGTATAGTATTTTGCTGGGAAAATAATAATAATTTCAAGGTACTGCGACATGGAATTGATGCCTCGAGAGTACACTTTGCTGCTCTTACGATCATTAGAGACTTTAGTTTTAAGGTCGCGCGCCCACATTCCTCCCTCTAGAGGCAAAACGGCCAATGTAAAGTGCTAATTTACGGAGTGGGGATGACAAAGGAAGAAGGGCAGATTACGCGACATTTAAAGGGTAAGTAAGACAAGGATGAAGCGGGGGGAGAGTATCAACGTTGACTAACCAGCTGGTGGGGAGTGGGGAAGAAGGGGCTGGTGGCCTCGGGTTTCTCGAAGGCCTTCTTCATGTCGGTGACGCTGGCACTCCTACGGCCGAGATTCCGCGGTGTCGGTATCTTGGAACCGGGGACGGACGACCTCCCGCCGTCGAGCTCCTCGATGCCGCTCCTACTTGGCATCGGTATCCTCGTAGGTGCGAGCTTCTCATCCGTGGTCCAGGTCTCACCAATGCCGTTTTTCTCGCCCCTCGCCGCGCCGAGCATGTCCTCGAGGCTCATTTGGCACTTGGAACTGCCGTAGCTCGTCTCCTCCACATGGATCGTCGAGCTGAAGAGCCAGAGGAGCGTGAGTTTAATCGCCTCGTCGCGTTCGGAGATCATCAGGATTGCGGATTTCCGCGCGTTGCGTGTACGTCAATCGTTGAACGGACCGATCGGCCGATCATTTTGAGATTGCGAAACTAACGAATATAAGATGTCGAAGGGACTCTACTCTCACGTGGCAACTTGAACGACATGATTTATCTCCTCACGGCACAATAAAACACATGCAAAATAAAAAAAAAAACAAAAAAACAAAAACAAAAAAAGAGAAAAACCCTACTTTTAGTATAGAAATCGGTTATTCGTTATGTACAGCATTATCGTTGCATTGATCAGAGTCGCTTAAGCATCATCGTAAAGTCTCCTTTTTCATCCATTTAATTGTAAGATTTGAAAAACTTTGTGGATAACGTAACGCGATTCAGGCATTACCGATTAATCAATGAATTATTTTTTATTATTTTGTCTTTTGTCAAATACAAATGCTCGGGACTTATAATATATAAAAGGTAATGTAATACGTACCGCGATCGACTCTTTGTCGTTAATACCGTAAGAAGATCGTGATGATCGTCCGTCGTCTTTTTCACAGCGACGTTCGACCTTGACTTTGGCTTAACGAAGCCGATGAAATCGACGTCGCTGTCGTCGTCGTACGACTGACACGTCGACGAGCCTAAAGCCGTCGGGGAGTTTTGCTCATGCAGAGCCAGGGTCGATTTGCTACGAGATGCGCCTCTATTATTCGAACTCGTGGCTTCGATGTCGCACAACGGCGATGACTTCTTACGTGGCTCGTAAGAGTTTGCGCGATCGTTGCTCTTCTCCGCGAACGTTCGCATCTCTGCCCTCATCCACGACTTCATGTCGCTCGAAGGCTCGAAGGCCTCTGATTTCGGTGATCTCGAAGTTACTGTGGCCCAAGCGAAATTGACAATTAAATTTAGAGCGAATTGCTTGCTAGTCGTTGATAGGTCGGGGCTACTCGATGATAATACGATGATTTGGAAAATTCATGGATTTTCATGCGATAAGCGTCATTGCAGATTGTCTAGAGGATATAGTTAATCTCATCGAATTATGCGCTGTTAATATGACGATACCAATAGCGATAAATTGCGAATTCGATAGTTGGAATTTAAAATAGGCAAGTTGTAAATTAGTGTCGGTGATGAGGGGGGTTGGGGGGAGGGAGGGAGGGAGGGAGGGAAACACGATTGGTGTATTATAATAGGATTATAGGCGCTCGTCAAAACTTACGAAGTGGCACATTTTTGGCCTGCGGAATGATACTCCGCTTGGGTGGTAATCTCGGCTGCTGCTGCAGTTGCTGCTGTTTCTGTTGTTGCTGCTGTTGTTGCTGCTGCTCCTCCATCTTTTGATTGGAAAATTTCTCACCCTCCACGACGACGTTCTCCGTGATTTCGATATACGCAATCTTAATCCGTGGCTTCGTGCAGTCCGCGCCCCCGTTCGTCACCCGATGGGCATTGACAAAGCCCCCGTTCACCTGGTGTACGGTCGCGCCGTTGGCCGCGACAGCTTCCTCCTCGTCGGTGAACTTGCGCTGGATGAGGGGCGAGCCATTGAGATCCCTGCCGCTGCGGCATCTCGCGCTCGCCAGGATATTCTTTCGGTTTATGGCCTCGACGCTTTGGGGCTTGAGTACTCGTCGTGACAAGGACTCGGCACTCGTGGGCGAGCCGGAGGTCAGCGTTGACGAGTTCGAGTTACTCGAATTCGTCTCGTTGCTACTCGAGCGCTTGAGTGGTTGGCGCTGAGGTATCTGAGACGAGCGGTTAGACTCTGTTGGCTGTTGCTGTTGCTGTTGTTGTTGCTGTTGTTGCTGCTGTTGCTGTTGCTGTTGTTGTCGCTGCTGCTGGTGGTGATGAGATTTGAAGCTCGGCAACTTCTCCGGTATCGAGTAGCTCATCTCGGTCATAATGTTCGCTCTGGCATTGTGGAGGCTGTAGAGGGTCTTGTCGGTTATGATGGTCGTTCCATTGGTCTTGTTGGGAGTCGAGTCGAGTATCAGTTGCGGGCGCTGATGGTAATGCGACTCGGAGAGGTACGATCTCTCCGATGATACGGTCGACCTATCGGAGGGCACCGGTGACATTGGCGGACTAAAGCCGCGGGATATGCTACTTTGGGAGCTGCTGACAGCCGAGTCGTTATCCGAGTCGTCATACTCGTTGTTTCTGCCGTTCTTCCGCTGGCCGTTGAGCTTGGGCTTGCAGAGAGGAAGATTGTTGTCGGGCGAGCCACTGGAGGATACGAAATCGAAGCTGTAGTCGCTCCTTGTCGGGCTGCAAATGCTTTCGAGACTTTTTGGGGCGTCGGGACTGGTGAGCTGGTTATTCGCGTTGTTCTTGGAGTTGTTGAGGGCGGCGATGCTGTTAGGGGACTGAGAGCCGGCGTAAGCGGTGAGGCTCTTGCGTTTGAAAGCTGGCGAGTAGTTAGAGAGAATTTTCGGTGCGGGCATCTTGAAAGCGTTGTTGATTCGTAATGAGGAGCTGACGGCGCTGGAGTTGCTTATCAAGGAACTCTGTGAGCCCCATTTGTCTTGAATATTCGATCGAGGAACCTGCAATGCGTTTGCCATATGTTTTTGTTTCATGGAATTACACGAGTTTATTATCAATAAATATTTTTCAAGCATTACATTTACATTAAATTCTTGAAGATCCTTATTGTAAAATAACAACAACAATAACAACAACAACAACAACAACAACAAAAGAAAAAATGTTTTTGCGCTGGGTAAAATTTTGTGTGTTATTTAGTGTACGATAATGGCAAACAAAGGAATTTAACGATGTCACGTGCGCGCAAAAAATTTAGCATCTTTTTACTAATACTTTCAGACTCTATTATTACGCGTGAAATCGTGCGTGCGTGTGTGAGCGCGTGTGAGCGCGAGCGTGTATACGTATAGTTGTATTATGCTCAAATTATCGATCTATCGATCGATCGGTCAACAATGATTTATTTAAAAGCGCACGAGTAGCACGAGCACGAAGCGTTTAATAAGACGTATCGATGATCGGGGAATCGATCGACTAATCGATAAACAAGGGAATCAAGTGGTCGTTAAATAGATTTCATTATAACAATAAGCAATTCAATGATACGGTAGCCGGAATTACTTGTTCAAGGAGTTTTATACGTTCGATGCAAATGCGTCAATTAGAGTGTTGTACGATAGGTTAATCAAGAGTTCAAAGTGATCGTACAATTTTATAAAAGTAATTGGTCGTCGACTGGTGGCGCTAGCACGTTCATTTAAAAAGATGTCAGATCGTGGAAGGTTAATAAATTTTTATGACCAATTGCACGTAAAAATCATATTACCCGCCGCGTATAAGAATCGTCGAATACGAGCGAAACACTCCTATTATTTACCATTGTTTCCTCATTTATTTTTAACATTTGACGCGATCCAGGATATACATATATATATATATATATATATATATATATATATCGATGTGACATACGTCGACCGCAACAAAGAGTAAATTAGATCAATTTGCCATCACCACTATACTATATCACCGAATCAGTCGACATATCTTCTCGATTCTCATTATTACGCGAAAACTTAACGCTTCGAACCCGTGCAACATTTGCCATTTCCATGAAGCAATCAGCTGATTGCTGATGCGCTCTCAACGCCCCGACGAGCGCATTACCGATCGTTAATTGACTATACTCAATTAATAAAGAATTTAGCGACTTATTGATAATTCGAGGCATTATGGAGGAGCGACTCGTTTACCTGACTGTTCAAAATCGAATCACGTGACTTGATTTCTGGCAGATCAATGATTAGCTGATCCGCCGGCACCGCGTCCTTTTCCGGTATCACCAGGCCCCGCAATTTCGAGATACCTTTTCGCCTTTGCTCGATAAGCTGATTCAAGCTACTCTTCCTCATGTCGTCGCTCGGTCTCTTGAACGTCGACGCCAGCGAGTTCGTTCGGGAAATGCTCGAGGAGCCGAGGAATGATTCATTGGCCGTTTGGGGCCTGTCGTGACTGTAGTAGGGATTCGCCGAGCCCGAGAAGCTCATGGCCCTCGTGAGGCCATTGGGGGCCAACTTAGTCGTCAAGGACGTCTGCGTCGCGTCGAAGCTCTTATTGTGTCCCAATCGCGGCCTAACGACACCGTCGTTATGTGATGTCGCGTAGTCGTCGTTCGAGCGGCAATCCAAGTCTGCCGAGCTGTCGGCGTTCGTCCCCGGATACTTATTATTCTCCGGACTGATACTGTGCGAATAGCCATTGATAATGTGTCGCGGACTCGTGGGTGGTGAGCCGCTCTGGATCGCGTTCCGGGACTTCGGATGGTGATTGTCGTTGCGATGATGGTCGGCGCTTAGGTCGAAGAAGCTCTGCGTGCGCTCGACCGTCATCACGGGCGATCTCATCTCCTCGGCGAAGACGTCGTCGGACGACTTGTGCTTGGAGAGCCGCCTCGAGCTGGCGATCGACGAGGGCGAGCAAGTCGTCGTGGCGGCGATGGACGTCGGGAAGAGAGGCGCCTCGAGGCTGCCCCGCGACGAGAACATGGCTATCTTGTCCTTGACCGACTTCTCGGATTTATTGTCCTGGCGCCAGAGTTCGCCGCTCGTGGCGAACTTTCTCTCGTGATTGTCGCTGACCTTGGGTGGGCCGGTTAGCGGCAGCGGGGGCGGACAGCCGTCCACCACTTCCGCGTCCACGGCGTCGTAGGGCTTGGCGTAAGCGGCGATGTCGATTGTCTTCTCGTTAAGGGCTTCGTGGCTCGGTGCCGCGAACGATGTCTGCGTGCCGTAGAGCGTGTAATTGCTCGATGTCGATCTCTTGTCCCCGTCCATGTCCGGTAGCTCCTCCGTCCTCCTCGTCTCCAGAGGTTCGGTCTTCTTGCAACGCGTCTCGGCAGTGCCACGTCCGTCGTTCGTGTTGAGGGTCTTGGCGACGAGTGTTGCCTTGTCGACCGGGACGAACGCCGAAACGTCGACGACCATGGTCTCGCCGCGGTCCACGTCGCCGTTCGCTGCCACCGTCTCGCGCTTCGTTACGTATTGGTACGGCTGATTCGGATTGGTGAATTCTTGATACGCCGTGGGAAACTCGTCCCCGTCCGGGGGCAGGCGCTGGCCACCACCTCCACAGTTGTCCATCCTACCATTTACCACGGCTGCAAGCACAAAATGAAAACGATTCGTATTAGTCGGGGCACATGGACTTGGCAGTGCGCGACACTTTATTCGAACGACGAACGCCACGAGGACAAATTTACAAACTCGATTATAATGACACTTTGTCCGTAATTTCCCTTTGTTTACGCGCACAACTAACGACATCTTGGGGCGAATGCGTCATTATTCGATAGGAATTTTAATAAAGGAAAAGAAATTTTACCTCATTGTTTGCATATTGGCTGACGAGCCCCGTGCGCAAGAGTCACGCCCTCGAGCGGTTTGCAATAAGCAAATAGCGCGATATTTTTAGGTATTAAGCTACCAGGATACGTTTTTTGTTCGTTGTAAATATGAATTGACTTTAAGGAATGTTTGTACAATTATTACAAACAATCGTGAATGTTACAATTTTGTAAATAATAAGGACGACTATCGTGGTCGATTGCATTATTCATCCACATAAAATTTATATTGACAGGCTCGGGATAAGGAAATTCCTATTAACGCGCACATAATTTTTATTCGATCATTAATTAATTACCTTTCTCTTTTTCATTCAAGTGCACTTACACGCTCCTCTAAGAGTCGCTTTCTTTCCTTCGATTTTGATTTACAATAAACATACGTCCAACCAACCACAAAACTAATGAAAAAGGCAAGGAAAAGCAGAGAAACAATAAGAAAAGAAAAGAGAAAGAGAGAAAAAGATAAGGAGATAATACAATATAAATATACGATTAAAGATAATTTCCATCAGACGTACGCTTAACCCATGACTTTCCTCTCACACTAGCTAAGACTAATGTAATTGCAACAGCAGAGCATACGTGTGTCTGGTGTGTGTGTGTGTGTGTGTGTGTGTGTGTGTGTGTGTGAACTATTACAAGACTTTTAATAATAGCGCCGATTCGCAAGTGCGAGCAGCTAGCGCGTACATTGCGACGAAATCATAACATTCGAAGTGTTAATGCGCGTCCGTGGGTCGGGCGCTGAAAGTACCTCGGTGATTTCACTCGTAGATATTCGAATGGAATTATTTTTGAAGTGCCGCGTCTGCCGGCCGTTAAGCCAGAAATTCACTATCGTCGCTGAAAGTTTTTAATGCAGTTGCGGAGCGCCTGATAGGCTCCTATTAATAAGCCTAACTTACACCCGTCTTACGCCCAGCATCGACATCCGGCACCGGGAGATCCCCGCGCACATCCGGTTAGCGTGGAGCCGTTACTTCTCGCCTCCCCCTCTCCAACCAATTTTGCTTTGCCTTGGCGGAGGCGGCGCATCCGGCCTTGAATGTTTCACCTTTGTTTCGGTTCTGCTTCTCGTCGATTCTCTCACCTCCTCATCAATCGTATCGCCAAGGGACCAAGGGAATGTATTTCGGGTGTTACCAAGGATTAAAAGCGGGAGAGAAACAATGGCTCGACCCTTGGAAGTTATTTTATTGACCACGCTCTCTGACAATC